TGTCAGATCTGTGGCTCACAGTTCTGGGAAGATGGAGGACTGTCAGATCTGTGGCTCACAGTTCTGGGAAGATGGAGGACTGTCAGATCTGTGGCCCACAGTTCTGGGAAGATGGAGGACTGTCAGATCTGTGGCTCACAGTACTGGGAAGATGGAGGACTGTCAGATCTGTGGCTCACAGTACTGGGAAGATGGAGGGCTGTCAGATCTGTGGCTCATATTTGTGGGAAGATGGAGGGCTGTCAGATCTGTGGCTCACAGTACTGGGAAGATGGAGGGCTGTCAGATCTGTGGCTCACAGTACTGGGAAGATGGAGGACTGTCAGACCTGTGGCTCACAGTTCTGGGAAGATGGAGGGCTGTCAGATCTGTGGCTCACAGTTCTGAGGAGATGGCAGGCTCATACACCCAGAGGGGAGCTGATGACTGTGACTATTGTCTTTCAGAAAGGCCGGGAAAGGAGGAACACCTGCTTCCTGGGTGCAGTTAGGCATGTTTATTTTGTATTGACTTGGCTAACTCTCAGGGAAAGGTGTATGAATCAGGAACCTTTAATATGATGTGGCAGTTCTGAACTCTCTAGGAAAGTGTGCAACAGTAAGAATACATAGTAGTTAACTTGTATCAATTTAAAACGTTCAGACCTTTGATCTTCCTGAGTGTGACTATGTGTGGGAGCCCTTTCTCAGGTTCCTTGTGGCTTTACCCAGCATGTCCACATAGAGGATGATTAGGACCTCGGGCCTGAGTGCAGGTGTCTGAGATGGTCTGCACTTGGCTGTGCTGGGGGAGGAGGTCATTTGCTCCACCCCTTGGCATCTCTATAAATACCCTGGGCCAGGGACAGTCGGGGCCTGTTGGAAATGGTTCCAGGCCCTCTTGAGGCTATCTTTTATTTTATATCTGTTTATCTCCGCAAGATTCTCCACAATAAATCCTTCTATCTAATATTTCCTGCTGCTCACACTCAGGAAAACTCTGGGGAACTGTGTGGTTGGTGGGTAAATGCCCCACAACTATGGAAGTGTTTCTAGATAATGTTAATATGCTAACCATTTGAATGAATAAAACAGGCCTCTTTAACATAGGTACTCCATAGCTGATTGGTTGAAAGCAGGATGTCTCAGGACAACACAAAGCTGACACTCTCTGAGTGAGGTGTGAATTCCTCCTGAATGATAGTCTTCAAACTGGAGCATATTGTCTCCTTGACTTAAATCAACAACTGGAATATAATCTCTACCTGTGTCTCTGGGCTGCTGATATTGGGGTTCAAACTACCACATCAGTTCCCTGTGGCTGGTGATTACAGATCTTGAAGCACTTTAATGGGTCTATAAAAAATTATTATATAAACAAAAACCATTTCATTAAATGGAGAATTTTACTAAACAATGAACTCCACTTAAATTACATAAAATAGAGACTTCCACAAACATGTAAATTCCTTGCAGGTCACCAGAGAACCAATGGCATAATGGCTCAAATAGTTTAAAATGACAACTATTTATTAGATTTTAAATCCCTTAAATAAAATACAAAATAAAATTTCACAAATACTTAGGATATCATAAAATATAAAGTATCACTTAAAAGCTGAAGAATTGTGAAAATGCAGATACAAAGTGATGTGGCGAATAGTCCCTTAACTATTGTGATCATGTAAGCAAGTTCATCGCTATGAATACATCAAATAAAGACCAACATCATCATTTGTGTATGTGAGTAAATATTGAGATTTCAAGGATCATTAAATAGAGCCATGACTTACAATATTTAATAAAAATAATGGGCTTGGGTTAAATAAAAACATTTCAGAGGAGTCTTTTTTATTCACATTCACAACATTTTCTTAACAGGTATTTTTAGAAGATTGCTATTTAATGCCATTCAAATCCCGCCAAGCATCGTTTCTGTATGACTACCACAAAAGGATTACTTTACAGAAATCGCTGCCTTTTTGGAGAGTGTGATTTGGACCCTGATTCAGAAAACAGGTACAGCTGTTATTTTCTCTCCAATACATTTTGTTGCAAATGAAAAAAAATGTCAAGTGAAACCCAGAGCAGGAAAGCCTTGTGTGTCAATTCCACAGCTCGTCATTCATGGGATTGCCTCTGTGTTCAAACCAAGTGGGTTCTTTGTGTTTGAAGTAAAATCACTTTGTTTGAGTAAAATTAAGCACTAGGATATTACAGAAATATTGTGGTTAAAAGTGGCACACACTGATTTTATTTTGGTTTTTGGTTTGCATGAGCATGGCAAATAGAAAGGTGGAGCTGGAGACAGCGAAGGAAGCACTCTATAGCCTGAGTTATGCTATCTTCCAAGCCAATGTCTGACTTTCTGGCAGGTGGATTTTGTACTTGTTTGTTTATTTCATTCTGAAGATAGTGATTAAGTTAAATGAGCAGGAGATCACAAAGAGAGAGATATCCTCGCCAAGTAGAATGAGCCAGGCATTTTCTGCATAAGGATGATGCATGCTGTTTGTTCAAGAGTGCTACATTATTTGCATGGCACCCAACAACACATGTCACTAGATATTAATTATACTTGTTATTATTAAATTATTCATTGTGTGATTTAGTAATGGTCCTTAAAGTGGGAATCCTACACTATTAAAAATACCTGAATAAACACATGTCTAATACCCATAACTAAGTGGGCACCAATAGACTATTTCAAATCAAATTTACTGGGCATGCTCTATGTCAATACTAATAACATATATTTTTAAATAATCAGTATAGAAGTTTTAAATGTATATTGAGAATGAATTATTGTTGTCTTATTATTTATATCACACTAATTTAAAAGGTTCCATTCTCTAATGATTAAATTGATTTAAAAAATTAGAGGTTCTTTCCCCTGTCTACTCTATAGGATCAGAATCGTCAAAAGTAGAAATTAGGAGGTGACAGGGCTTGAGAGTAGTTCTACAGGGCAGGGTGGGATGACACGTGATTCATTTAACCTTAGTCTCACAGCCACATACACATTCTGCAGAGTTTATGTTTCTCCAAACTTTCATGAATTCGGTTAAATTATAACAATTCTTCTATTAATTAAAGAGCCTAACTAGACTAAGAATCCTTAAATTAAATCTGTCAAGGACAGAGAAGGTGACAATGTTTCTGATACAGCACTCCACATCATGAGGGCAGGGACATAACTTTCCCATAAATTAGCACATCATTTCATCATAACATCGCAAAGACTTTAAGACAGTCATCATCATTGGGCCTGTTGTAAGAATGATCTCAGAAAATTTTACAAAAACAAAATAAAGTTAAATAAGTTCAGTAATCCATATTCTGTCCATAAATACAAACTTATGAAAAGGTAAAGCGAGAAATCCACAGAGTCTGCTTTAATGGCAAGGAATTTATTAGGGAATAAAAACTCACTACATCATGGGAGACTTATTGTAGGGTCCTGGAAAGCCAAGCTATGGTCCATGCTGTTCTTCTGCCTGGTCTGTCTCAGCATCCAAAAACCATGAGACAGAGAGTGAACCCCATGTATATGCATCTCAGTTCTTAAGGGTCCCAAGAGGCTATGCCCCAGGGGGGTGTACTTCAAGGTCATAGACTGAACAGCTAACCACTACATTCCCCTCTTTTGTCTAAATAAGAAAGGTCTAACCTAATACTATACTATATACAATAGGAACAATTATCAAGTGTTGTCCAGGAGAAGGGAAAATTATAACCTAAACAAAATTAGAACTACAACCATGAACAACATCAAACAAGAGACACATTACTAAAATCCAGAGATGTCCAGAACATAGTTAAATGACATGTTACAGAGATTATTCCAAAACTTGTCCTATCCTAAAGAATCTGAATCTAGTACTTAATATGTTCTAACTAAGATATGAGAAGATTGTAACTGTAACTTTCTAGTCTTCAACTCCATCCAAGTCCTGAGAAGGAACATAATTATACCTGATACAACAGAAAATATAAGCAATCAATTTCCAAAATTCTTGCGAGGATAGACAGAGACAGCTGACAGCCTACAAAGTTTGTTAGCATCTTGGGGGCATCCAATTTGGCTACAGGCCTAGAATATTTGACAGACCATTTTCAGAAGCAGGAATTTTGAAAGACCATCATACCCTATCTTGACAAGGCTCAGTAGTCCCTTTTCCTTGTGTCCTACTTGTTCAGAAAGGACAGAGTTCATACTGTCAGCAGTTGAGGCAAGGGCATTTCTTTGCCCAGCATGCCATTTTATGCCAAGAAGATGACAATTTCCAAACAGTGTGTCTTAACAGCCCAACATTATCTCGGGATCATATCTGTGCTGCCAGGAGTAATCCTGTCTCAAGTCAACAGAATTCTAAGTTATCAAAACATTTAAATGCCATATTCTCTGGTTCTATGAAGTGTTTGAATATCACCTATCCATCTGACCTATATTTCTGTAAACCTGGACAACCTAACTAACATAACTATAGAAATGACAAGCATGGGTAATTATAAATCTGTAAGTCTTATCTACCTAAATAACCTAAGGACTAAGGCTTCACATTAACAAGGTAAACATTCTGTAAACAGATGTACAGTAAAGGACAATGACCTCAAAATTGTGACAATACACAAAATATCTTACAGAGGTAGAAATGTATAGTGCAATATGCAATATGACAATAATATTTTTAATATATATCAATATACAAAATATCCTAAACAGAGGTAGAACATACATACAGTGTGAAAAATATAATTTATATTTGTATCAATATGCAAAATATTTCAAATAGGAGTAGGAATATGTGTACAATACAAATGTAGTTTTTTGTATCAATATATAAATTATCTTAAATATGAATATAAAATAGTTTATATTTGTATCAATATACAAGAATCCATAACAGTGTAAATTATCTAAAGCTGATATTTTACTATATTAGTTTACTAGTATATACAATAATCTACCTTAATATACTATATCTACAATTGTCTGTTTAAATGACAAAGAATTTATTAGGGAATAAAAACTCACTATAGCATGGGAAATTTATCGTAGGGTCCTGGAAAGCCGAGCTATGGTCCAGCAGTTCTTCTGCCTGGTCCGTCTCAGCATCCAAAATCCACGAGGCAGAGAGTGAACACCTCGTACATGCAGCTCAGTTCTTAAGGGTCCTAAGAGGCCACACCCCAGGGGGAGATGTACTTCAAGGTCATAGGCATGTGGAGCAGTTACCTGGTCCTTCTCTAGGGGCAGTGCTTCAAGGTCATAGACAGAACAGCTATCCGCTATGGAAAGGTGTTGTTTAGTGTATTGTTTTGTTTTGTTTAAGCATAGGAACATTTTAATAAACCAAACTCTATATTAAATTTCTACTCTGAAATACCTGTGAACATTGAATTGTATCCTGGCTCCTTGGTTCAACTTAGCAAGGGAAGACATAAATGATTTCCGGTGCTTTTAAGGTTCAAAAGAAAAAAAAAGGAACAGAACACAGCACAGCTCCTGTAAGGTAAAAGGGAATCTAATGCTCACTTACACATGTGTTAAGATGGAATTTAAATTTACACTAGACATATGAACAATGGAAACAAGATGTGGTGAGTGTCTTGACCAACAGTGACCTAGTACATTGCCTCAGGTGTCAACCCAAATGTGTTCAGGTTGTGGAGTTCAACAGAACGGCTTACTGAATTGAGTTTTGAGAATGGGATGTGGAGCTCTTGTCACTGAACAGGGAGGCCGTGGATCCTGGTTCAGGGAGTACAGTGCATTCTTGCTATATCTTTCTTGTTACTGTTCTGAGCAACTAATTGAAAAGCACATCAGTAGAATGGAAGCAATCTAAACAGATGAGCTGGGCTGAACATTCCAAAGAGGCATAAGTAAATTAGAATTGATGAGTCTGATGAGCTTGGGTGACAGTGTCACATTCACTGAAGTCTGTTTCATTCACAGACTTGCATGTCATCTGTCTCTGCAACCACTAAAAACATTCAGGGGACTCATTGACAGTTCATCTCGACATACCAACTAAGCCATTATAAGAGGCGACACATATTAAAAGGGGTCCTAAGTTCAGCCACTAAGAGTAAAACACTTCCCTTGATAACTTACACAACTGTCTCCAGCAGTCATTGGCCCAGGCCCAAGAGACAGAGTTCCTTCCATTAGGGAGGAGCCCCTGGGGCTCTGAGGTTATAGATTTTCAGGCAGGATTGCTCATTACTAATGGAAATAAACTGGGCATTACTGCATACAGCTGGAGGTACAGTGGCTGAGAGTAGGAGAGTGCAGGGTGTTCTGAATTTCAAAACTGAATAATTTAAATTTCATTAGTAACACTTTTGAGAATTGCATAACATTTTTTTGGAAGAAATCACTTACATGTGTATATTAATTGTATATGCTGCATATATGGCGAATACCATTGTTACTTGTGGACATGTTCACAGTGTATAACTCATTCCTGAAACATTAAATTAGAAGGAAATGCATGGAAACAGTCTGAGTGAATATCAGAATGTACCAGCAATTTCAGGGAGGGGGAAACATGGTGCTAATCTCTGTGCTAGTACAGAGGGTGAATACCAGATATTAAAAATAAATGTTTAATTGGAGTGGACTCTTTCCTAAACACTATTCTATTTTCTATATCTTTAGGGTATAAATGGCAAATGAAAAGATTAGAGCTTAGGAATATGTTATATTTGGACTGAGTCTCTATTATATTTTTGCCATCTCTGACTATTATATTAACTTTTCTGAACATCACAGTTTCTTCTCTTATAACTTGGATTATACCTTATTTTTCAAAGAGGTGTGAGGAGATGGGACAGAACATATCTATAACTACATCTATGTGTACACAGTGACATATACAGAAGTGTATACATTTCAGGTTTGGTATGTAGAAAATGTCTAACAGATGGCTATACTGTGATAAAATAAGTACCATGGTTTATAACTCACCAAGGAGAACAAAACTTTCTTGAGACTCTGATAAAATGAAGGG